GCGGTAATAGAATGGACAACAGAAGAAGATTCATGAAAAATTTAGAGAATGGTCAACTCAGGAAGACGCTTCCCTAAAGAAAGCAATGTGAGCAAAGTTAAGCTTAAGAGACTGTATGTGCCAGTTATAGTAATTGTCACCCTCGTGAGTAAGGAATTTCGTTATCCTTGGTATAGAAGGATTACTGCAAGGCGAGTAAGGGTCATCGATGATGTGAAAAGATGCCAAAGATGAAGAGGTAAAACATCTATACGTAGATTATCATAGAACTAAATCTTAGTACTCTCCTAAAGGGGAAAACATGGGCTGATGTGGCATGAAGTCAGAATTAAGTGGTTCTAGTAATTATGGAATGGTAAAGGAAGAATGCACGGGGCTGCCCTTTTTTTAAAGAAAGAATGCGATAAAAATGAGAAAGGGATGAGATTTCACTTATTCAAGTCCTACAGATATACTATGATTCCAGAACATTATGCAAGCACAATATCAAGGAAAGGAAGTAAGGGTTCCTGCCTTGGATGTTATTGACAAATAAGGAGCTAGTGCGAGAGGTAAGTTAAGAACAAGGAAATAACCCCAAAAAGATTACACGGAATATTGATATGAGAGTGGGCTAACGAGTGGTTAGTAGTTGATTCAGGAAGAGCCTAGTTATGGCTAGATAAGAGGATACAGACAAATCAATAGATCGTGCAAGTTAAACAGAGTGAGAGCCAACATGGGGAATTCAGTCGCAGTTATGACATTATAATACTTGAGATATATTCATATGGGGAAGTTAAAAAGGTACCGTACGAGCACTACGGAAATAAAAGAGAGTGCCACTGGGAAGACAGCCAAAATATCAGTTCAGAAGCAACCCCAAAAGCACCAAGGCGTGGAGGTAAATAACTACGGATAAGTATAGGCAAGGAAGGACATCAGGAGGTCTGTCAAGCATACAATGTAATAAGCTCACAGCTTTACAAGAGTAAGAGGGTCCTCCCTAAGTACTACAACTAGCTGAGGAAATAAATAAGAAGGCTTCAACCTAAACATAGTAACTCGAAGAAGAAATGGTCATGTAAATGCAGTCTCACAACAAGAATTGTATGCATGCAACAAAGGGCCGAAAGACTAGGAAAAGTAATTGCATACGTTTAAAGAAAGCTGAGATGGAACGAAAGGAATTATTCGATCAATGATCCAGAGTTAGTACGTTATGGATACACTTAAGATTTTGGAGCATTATCCATGCAACATATATGTTGACAATCATACAGCCGTAGAAGACTCTGGTATAAGTTAAAAGAAAGAATTGAGCCCAGGGCATAGACAAAGGATTAAGTTGTTAGAAGAATGTATCACGGATATTCCATAATGCCCATGAAAGGCTAAGATAATAACTAATACCATGAGCCACAGATCGGAAGATAGCTTAAGCCTACTTAAAGGTTTATCAGAAGGAAGAAGAAACTAAAGAATTACATCACCCAAGTAAATCAGGAGTCTGATTGTTTGACCTAGAAAATTATAGAAGTTGTGCTTGAGAATATGGCAGAATTACTCTTAATATTAGAGGTACAAGAGAAATAATACAACAACCATAATCTATAATGGCTGTACAAGGAAGCCAGTTAGAAGAAGTAAAAACCTCGCAAGAAGTCAGCACGAAGCTCCCACCGGATTGTGTATACACCAGAGGTGCAAGTATTATAATAGAGCTTCAAGTTATGGACGTGAATTACACCTAGGTGGAAGGGAGGTCATGAAAGAGATAGAAGATAGGATGCGAAATTTAAGGTAAGTAAAGTAAAGGTGAACAACGTACGAGATACTCAAAGGCAGAAGATCGTGAATAGTCCATACTTCGGATAAAAGGCTAGAAGCGCGAGGATTCAGTATCTAGGAATAATAGCGGCATCGTCAGTAGCATATCTTCCAGCCTATGGTCTAGGTATCGAAAAGCCTGACTAAGAGAGTAAAGAAGAGTTAGAGACGATGTGATTATCACTTGATGTTCCAAAATGACATAAGGAAATCTATGATGCAAGCAAGTTGAAAGGTTGTAAGTAATATAAATAGATATGTGTAGGTCGCAAGCTATTGTATGGTGAAGCGACAAGGTTCTAGAAGACATGAGTAAGGATAAGAACGGGCGAGTGAGAAGGTAACAAAAATGGATAAGTCCTCAAGATTAATCCCATGAAAACAAGAAGAGTAGATGGTTTCTCTAAGTTATACAAAGCCCACTAAAGCCTGAATGAACTCAAATGAGTATTGGACTAATAAGCATTTAGAAGAGATGGAATGTTACCCTGGTAATAGAATGAGGGTGTAATTGTGATAGATAAAGGATGTCGTTTGGGCCTTCAATTGAGTAATGATCTGACGAAGAAAAGAAAGGGATCTCGTGAATTGGACAGGATTAAAATTCCCACGTAAGGTGAATCACATTAGGATGCTGTGAGATACGGTTATGAAAGCATGGTATCGCCCTAGGTGGATCAGTGTAATCATTTCAAATGTTCCTCGATACGACGTGAGCCCTAGCGGTAGTGTTACATAAGACCTCAGTAATGATAAATCGAAGTAAGAATTATGGTATAGCATCACCTACCCGGATACAGTAAAGTCATACGGATGGATAAACGGATCTACAAAATAAGGTATAGCAATATTCGTAAGTTCGACAAAGTACCGAGCGAAGAACTTCAGTGTTCCTACAGATGCCCAGAGGGACATTTTATCAAGCTCTATATATGTTCCCAAAATAAGGCCTAGAGATCGGCGCACCTACAAGGAAAAAGTCATATGGGCTGCATAACCGAAGGTAGCAACAGTTACGAGATTGAAAGAATTCCGACCACAAGTCATAGTGTAAGAAAGATACCTAAAGAGTGGAATGCCTTGGACTTTGGATTTAATCAAAGAACAGTTGCCTAAATGGCTAGAAGAGTATTAAAGTATTCGCAAAAGCTATGGGTTATAAGAATGATAAGTGCATCAGTCAACATTCGAGGACGAATGTTCTAAAGGGGGAATGATGTTACACCCCACTTTTTTGTACGTGAAAGTACGACATAAGTAAATTGATGAAAGTCCAAAAAAATGGGATATTACATTCGGCATTTTCGTACGTTAATGCTTCGTCGTAAGTTAATCGACGTAAGTTTGGGAATGAGATTTATTTTAGGATTATAAGCATCATGCTATTTCAAAAAAGTGATAAGTAAATTCGTGAAGGTGAGAGGGTAAGTAAATCGAAGAAAATGAGTCTCATCGAATGTTTGGCAATTTGGAATAAAATACGGTCCGAGCTATAATACCCGATGTTTATGAACTAGTACCATACAAGGTACCACATGACCATGATAGTGAGGTGTATAAGGTATGTTAAAAGTGAGTAGTATTTTAAGTAAGTGGAGAAAACTCTTAATTATATAGGTAATTGCTTAATTATTGGGTAACAGGACATTACCTAGTTAATTAATAATTAGTGGTTGTCTTTGAATAAAGACTAAGGTCTTTGGATAAAAATTTAATCAACCCACGTGGCAGCCACATACAAATGCCTTAAGTGATTCATATACACATCATGTGACTCATATACCGTTTTAGTAAATGGGGGTCAATGGATATCACGCAAGGATTGAAGAATTCAAGGATATCAACCCACGTGGCAGCCACATACAAATGCCTTTCCATTTCTATTGTTAATCAATGGATATCACGCAAGGATTCAAGAATTCAAGGATTCGAGCAAGAAAATTACTTAAGCATCTTAGTAACGTGAATCTAAAGAAGCCCGGTATGATCTTTCTCAAAAAATTCATACGGATTTTTCCCTACTTCAGGTATGTTAAGGCTATCTCTTCTTTCTTTTTGGCATGATCCATACAATACAAACGAAACGAGCAAATGCACAACTTCCATAAATGACTCTATTCATTGAAATATTAAAGATGCTTATGTTCTTGATTCCCCATGTGTCATATTATTTTATCATCTGTTCATGGGCCTCAAAAATACGTAAATTGGTAAAGTTTATTTCATGATAATAATTAGAGGCATAATGGTCTTATGACGTACCGAGAGATTTTATTAACGTATTTCATATGCATTTCATGCATTTATACATGCACATTGACCCATGACCATATGGTGTTATATATATATATATATATATATATATATATATATATATATATATATATATATATATATATATATATATATACGCGTATATAACACCATATGATCATGGGTCATTGAGTTATATACACACCACCACCTGATCAGCTGGTATACGTTGATGATCTGCCCACAGTAGCCGAGATGATATGATGGGATGCCGTCAGAGGCTTGATGATGTTATGAACACATATACCCATGCATGGTATGACATTTATACGTATATGCATGACATTAGAAAACTGAAATGATTCACAGAGCTATGCAAACGTACATGTCGAGTCTTTTAATCCATGTTTCTCTCATGTCTATTATTTACTAATTCTCATTCCTTACATACTCGGTACATTATTTGTACTGACTTCCCTTTTGCCTGGGGACGCTGTGTTTCATGCCCGTAGGTCCCGATAGACAGGTCGAGAGCCCTCCAAGTAGGCTATCAGCTCAGCGAAAGATGTTGGTGCACTCCATTTGCTTCGGAGTTGCTTGTTGGTCAGTATGAATTAGATGTGTATTGTTTAGTATGGCGGGACTCTGTCCCGACCTTTATGAAAAATTGTATGGCCTTGTCGGCCTATGTTTAGTGTACGAGTGGTTATTTTGGCCTTATAGACCCGTATGTCTTATGTATAAGTTGATATCACAAGTTGCATTCTACTTATCTCACGCCAGCCTTCTGGCTCAGTTATCTTATGATAGTATGACATGAAAAGATACGTTATGTTGGTACTCGGTTGAGTAAGGTACCGGGTGCCCGTTGCGGCCCATCGATTTGGGTCGTGACACTAATAGAGGAAACCAAAACACATTTGCAACAGTCTTTCAAAATGAAAGACCTAGGAGAATTGAAATACTTCTTAGGTATAGAGTTTGGTAGATCAAAACAAGGAATTCTTATGCACCAGAGGAAATATGCTTTGGAACTTATTTCTGAGACAGGAATTGCAGCTGCTAAACCAGCAATTACACCAGTAGATGCAAATATGCAACGTACAACAACAGAACATGATGAACATCTCTGGAAAACTAAGCCTACTACTTTGGTGGATGAAGAACTGTCAAACTCAACTCCTTATCAAAGGTTGATAGGTAAGCTCATGTATCTAACAATGACAAGGCCAAGCATTTCATATAGTGTACAAACACTAAGTCAGTTTCTGCAAAGACCAAAGAAATCTCGCATGGATGTAGCTCTACGAATTGTAAAGTACATCAAGAATAGTCCAGGACAAGGAATACTACTCTCCATTAAATTCAACAGCAATATTTCAGCATATTGTGATGCAGAATGGGCTGGCTGCTCATATTCAAGAAAATCTGTTTCAGGTTATCTAGTCAAGTTTAGACACTCCTTAATATCATGGAAATCAAAGAAGCAAACTACAGTTTTAAGAAACTCAGCAGAAGCTGAGTATAAAAGTCTTGCAACAACTGTGGCAAACTTATCTAGCTAATTGGATTACTAAAGGAAGTGGAAATTGATATCAACCTACCAAGTGAAGTGTTCAATGATAGCAAAGGTGCAATGCAGATTGCAGCCAATCTTGTTTATCAAGAAAGAGCAAAGCATATCGAGATTGACTGTCACTTCATTAGAGAAAAAATCATGCCAGGGCTAGTCAAAATAACATACATATCTACCAAAGAACAACCTGCAGACATTTTAACCAAGGGTCTCAAAAAGATGCAACATGAATATCTTTCTTCCAAGCTAGGTGTTCTAAATGTATTTTCAGTACCTAGCTTGAGGGGGAGTCTTGAGAAAGATAAAACATAATCAAAGAAGAAAGGGCAGTTATGTAATTTCCTAGTGTTAGTTAATTAGTTATTAACTACTAATCCTAGCTGTTAGAGTTAGTTAGAAAAGGAGTATTATTATCCTTATATATACTCCCTCACGATGTACAGATTGGATGAAATAAACTCATTTCATTCTCTCCTAAACGCTCTCTTCATCTCTCTGTTCTTCCAATTCTTTCTCTTCATCTATCTTCTTCAAACTCAGTAAGAACCCAGTAATTACTTCATAGTATCAGAGCAATTCAAGTTAATTCACAAGCTTGAAACTCGATTCTGCAATTGTTTCCGCAAAATTATTCAAATCCTTAAGTCAATTGTTGACTGTTTCAATTTATTGAAGAAATCTTGTTTAGTATGGCGATGAATGAACAAAAATCTGTTCCATCTGGAAATCAGACTTCAAATTCCAATCAAGGAGGTTTGCATACAACAGCTCCAGCAATTGATTACAACCATCCACTATTTTTGAGCCCATCAGATGTAAGTGGCATACAAATTATATCATTTCAACAAACTGGCATTGAAAACTATTCTCTCTGGTTTCGATCTATGAGAATGGCATTGTTAGGAAGGAATAAGTTGGGGTTAGTTGATGGAACTTGTTCCAAAGAAAGTTTCCTAGAAAGTTTGTGGAATCATTGGGAAAGAGTGAATGTAATTGTGGTTTCTTGGTTAATGAACTCTGTTAGGAGTGGCTTACTTGGGGGAATAATGTATGCTTGTGCTCAAGCCATGTGGAGTGATTTGCATGAAAGGTTTGATAAAGTAGATGGCTCAAGATCATACAATATACATAAAGAAATTGCCACACTTAGCCAAGGAACGACATCTGTGTTTGCACATTTTTCAAAGCTTAAAGACTTGTGGGAGGAGTTTTGAAGCACTAGTTCTTGCACCTGGGTGTGATTGTCCAAAGTCAAGAGACTTTGTAGTCCATCTGCAAAAATTGAAATAGTTTCAGTTCTTGATGGGGTTGAATGATTCCTATAGTAGAGCTAGGAGTCAAATTCTGTTGATGAGTCCAATGCCAACAGTTAACCAGGCATATGCTATGGTGATCAGTGATGAGAGTCAAAAATCAGTCGCAGTTAATGCTGGTTTACTAGGAGCAAATCCTACATCTATTGGACAATATGATGTGGCATTGTACACCAAGAGTCCAAGACTGGAGGAAATTTTCAGAAAACCAGAAAGAATTTCAATCTATTCTGTGAAGTTTGCAAAATGAAAGGCCATTCTAAAGAAAATTCTTAAAGATTGTAGGCTACCCTCTAGAATACAGACCAAGAAAGAAGAGTACAAATACTCATAGTGCATATAATGTGTTGCCTGATATGAGTATCCAAAAAAATCAGCGCATAGAGGGAATTGGAATGAAAACAATTCACAGAATTCTCAATTGACAAGTAGTGATGTAAGTACTAATAACTATCAAAATATTGGGCAAGTGAACAATACTTCTTGGATGGGGAACTGCACATTCACCAAAGAGCAGTATGATCATATTGTGCAACTTCTAAGCAAAGATAATTCAAGTTCTGCTTCTGTTTCAGCAACACCATCAGCTAATGCAGCAGGTATACCTTGTGCTTTGTTAGCTTCTAATAATTTACAAGAGTGGATAATAGACACAGGGGCCACAAACCATATGGTAGCTGATTTAGAACTATTGAATAAGGCTTCATTAGTTCAAACAAGCCAGCCAAAGAAAGTACATCTACCTAATGGAGAAACTACTCAAGTTGCTCATAATGGAAATAGTACCTTATCAGATCAAAACACAATAACTATTGTGTTCTACATTCCTCAATTTAAATGTAATTTTCTCTTTGTATCTAAAGTAACCAAGGAGCCAAAATGTTCATTTGCTTTCTTCCCTAATTTTTGTCTGTTTTAGGAACTCTTTAGTGGGAGGGTGAAAGCGATTGGTAGAGAAGACAGTGGTTTGTGCATTCTCAGTAGACAAACAATACCACGAAATAATGCAATTAGTCTAAACACAAAGGAGACAGAAGTCAATAAAGAGACTAGCTCAAATGATATTGATCTTTGGCATAGAAGGCTTGGACACGTGTCTACTACTGTTCTGAAGAAATTACTATCACCAAATACACAAGATATATCTGCTAGAACAGACTTATGTACTATATGCCCATGTGCAAAGCAAACAAGACACCCTTTTCCTGTCAGTAGTATAAGAACAACTACTAGTTTTAAGTTAGTTCATATGGATTTATGCGGTCCTTACAAAATTCCTACTATGGACGGTAACAGGTTTTTCCTAACTGTAGTAGATGATTTTTCTAGAATGACATGGATTTTTTTGCTGAAATTGAAGTATGATGTGTGTGTGATTATACAATAATTTTTGCTTTTTTGAAAACACATTTTGGGAAAACAGTGAAAACAATTCGAATAGATAATGGTACTGAATTTGTTGATTCAGTTTGTGAGAATTCGTTTAACAATCTAGGAGTAATTCATCAGAAGACATGTGCATATACTCCTCAGCAAAATGGAGTAGCTGAGAGATAACATAGACATATCTTGGAACTCACTAGAGCTATTTTCACACCTCCTTTTTTCTTACTACACCCCGGGAAGGGATATAATAAAGGGAGTTTTTCCAATTAAAGGACAATCGAAACGGGATTCGTTTTGTTAAAAATCAGAGTCGCCACTTGGGAGATTTATGGTGTCCCGAGTCACCGGTTTGAATCTCGAATCGAGGAAAAGGTTTGACTCTGTTTAACAGTCGCGAACCAGAAATCCGAGTAAGGAATTCTGTTAACCCGGGAGAAGGTGTTTGGCACTCCCGAGTTCCGTGGTTCTAGCACGGTCGCTCAACTGTTATATTCGGTTTATTTATCTAATTTTAATACATTTTGAACCTATGTGCAAATTTTAGCTTTTAACCGCTTTTATTCAATTTTTTTAAAGAATGTTGAACGTCGTTTAAAACATGTCTTTGGATCGCGTCTCATGAAATGCACCCGCAATCCTAAACATATTTTATTCAACGTTTTGGGATTTGGATTTGGGTCGCATGAAATGCACACCCGAGTTTAGGAAGGTAAAATTATTAAAGAACGTGCCTAAAAGCAACTACGCGTTGTTAATTTTGCGAGGGCCATGAAAATTAGCTAAATGGCACGCCTCGAGTTCTTAGTATTTTAAATAAAAAATTAAAGAGGGCCACGCAATTTGTAATTTTATTTGGCGCGGCACAACTCAATTTGTTTTAAAAGGACATCCTAAAGATGAGCTACTATTAGCTATTAGGATTCGTCTCTACTCCTAAAACCTAATTAGTTGACATTATGAATTAACTAACATCAAGGTATTCAAGAAAAATTGGGCCCCAAGATCAAGTCCAAACTCGAACAAGGACGCTCCCCATTACTGAAGAGACCCTTAGCTCGAGTATGCCACTTAACTTGAAAGGCCCAAAGTCCACCATTTAATTTTAATGCCATTAAATCCAAAAGTGACTCTGGACTGCCACTACTTTGGGCCCGAAACCAACCTAGCCAAAAATGAGGCCCAATAACACCACAGGAGCGGAAGAATTAGATCTCATAGTTGGCCCTTTTTGGGCCTGAACGGAGGCCCCAAATCTCCACGAGGTACAACTCGAAATGGGCCTCAGGGGTCATGCCTTCGATCCCAATCAACAACAGAAGGCAACTCGAGTTTTAAGAACACAATAACAAACAAATAAACATCACACAACCTGAAAATGATATCAACCGTTACATTGATGATCAAGAGCATCGGTGGCTTGATTGAAACAATTAACCATATGATCATAGTTCAGTCCAATTCATACATGTGCCCATGACTAATTTACTTGATTATCAAATTACTGAATTAAAGGAGTCCCTCAACCACCTAATACCCACAGTTCTTATAATCACCCTAAATCATATTGCACTTTTAAATCTTACACAGATGAAATCTCATGCTATAACGGGTATCACTTCTATTTACTCTAACTATTCAGACATAAACCCCCATGAAAAATATCAATTAACATACAGCTAAATACAAGCAAGTTTCAGGATACGTTATATAAGAGTATTGATTATGAATTTTCAGGCTAAATTCAAGTGACCTTTAGATTTAAACTCAAACAATAAAAATCTAAATTCAGCATTACATCCAACAGTCCAACAGTCCATATTAAGGATACATCANAATCAATGCTAAAATATAGTAATGTTGACAGAAATTAACAAGTGCTTTTCATTCCATATTCAAGTCAAATTTACATCCTGAAAGTTAGAGTTTGTACCTGGAACAACAATTAGAAACCAAAAGTGAGAAAAGGGGTCCAAAGAGAAGCAGCAACAGTAGAATTAGCCCAGAAAAATGCTTGAGAATATCACTTGAAACAAATTTTTGAACTCAAATGACTCCACACAAGATTCAGACTTAAATTCCAACTAAAAATGGACTCAAACTTGAATACCACACTCACTTCAGCTCATTTCTTCTGAAATTTGTCATAGAGGGAATACTACAAGAAGATTCAAAGATTTTTTCAATGTAACAGTAGTATTTTCGTGCTTTTGTGCTCAAATTTGGGTGGAAACAGTATTATTTTGCAGACTCTCACTTCTGTATTTTTTCAGCTCTCCAAACCTTATTTTGAAAGGCAAGAAATGGTGCCTTTTATAGGCAAACCACTAGGGCAACACCTGCAGGCTTACTCTTTTGCCCTTTAGTCCCTTTTGTTTTTACTTTTAGACTATTTAGTCCCTTATTTATTGACTTGCTACCCAAGTCACTACACCTATTTTTTGAATTTCAACTTAAAACGCCATCTAGAAGGTCCTAGGGAATTCCATTTTCAGTTACTATCAGATTCCTTATGTTGAATTACCCATATTACCCTTTTTGCTTCTGAAAATTACTAACTAAAATCACCCCTTTTACCCTGGTCTATTAGCCCCGGTTAACTAACTAGGGTTAAACAAACACATTCTGAAAATCACAGCTAAGCCCAAACACAGAGCTCTTGAATCTGAATTAACTAATGAATTCCGGATTTAAACCATTGTTATCAGTCCAACAAACACTAAGAAAATGAACAAAATTATAACAGAATCATTATGAGGAGAGGAGATCAAAAACTGGCAAGCAAAGAAAATTCATGAATAGGTAGAAATACTAATCGAGCTTTCAAACTAAACTAATCAGAAAATAAAATTAAAGAACTATAACGTGAAGAATAAAAAATCAATTTAAAACAAAGAATAGCAAAAGAAAGAAAAGAGAACTTACCTGTATGAAATGAACGAGTATTGGACTCTTGATTTGAGTCCCAAAATGATGCTAGGCGTTTGTTCTTGAAAATTCGAGGAGGTGGGGAGGGACTTGAAAGGAAATAATCAGGGGTTTGGGATGAGGGAAGTGAGGGGAGTGCGGGGTGCCATTTTAAGGGGGTTTGGAGGTGGCACCGCCTAGGGTTTGGGTTATTCAACAAGGTTGGCTAGGATTTGGGGGACGAGGTTTGGGGGTTTGGAAAGAGGAGGTTACGGGGAACTTATGGTGAAAATTTGAGAGGGATTGGAGAACGGCCGCCGGCGGAGGCGATTTCCGACCGGCGGCGGACGGCGGAGGGCGGCGAGGTTGAGCTGGTCTCTAATGGACCGGTGAGAGACGGGACCTGGTGGGGGGATTAGGGGGGTAGGGTATATTTGGAAACTTATATATTAGTTAACCTAAGCTTCCCAGCCGTTCGATCATCAAACCTCGACGGCTGGGATTGAACCCCATGAATACGACGTCGTTTGGTTACTGGGGGGCTGGACCGGATCTGGGCATAGGTTTGGGCTTGATTGGGGCTGGTTTGAAGACTAAAAACTTGGGCCTGATCAATTAAATTCAGAGACAGGCCAAAAGACTCAACTCTTTGAATCTCCCTCTTTTTCTTTTGTCAAATTAAAACCTAAAATCTAAATTAACTGTTAATAAATTTATCCTACCAAATTAAACTAATTAGCTCTAAATGACAATGACCACAAATAATTAAATACCAAAACAAAAGAAAGGCCACTTAAAAATCCAAAAACTAAAATTAAAAGCAAAAGTAAACTATTTTTGTGATTTTTGTATTTTTGTAAACTCCTAATTACTAATATGTAAAATTAAACCCTAGATGCAATGCACATATATTTTTTGTAGTTTTATATGGATTAAAATGCACAAACAAATGCAAGCAATTAACAGAAAATGCCACAAAAATCAACAAAATTAAAAATAATGAAAGAAATTAATTTGTTTGAAATTATGGGAGTAATTCATATAGGGCAAAAATTACGTGCTCACAGCTATTAGATTTCAAGTTGATATACCAATCAAATTATGGGGATATTAAGTAGATGCTGCAATCTACCTTATTAACAGATTGCCTAGTTCTGTTATTGATAATAAGAACCCATAAGAAAGGTTATATAGCAGAAAACCAACACTATAACATCTCAAGGTTATAGGCTGTTTATGTTATGCAAAGATAATTCATCAAAATGACAAACTAATGCCTAGAGCAAAACCTTCTATACACATGGGGTATGTTGCAGCTCAAAAAGGATATGTGCTATATGATTTAATAGATAGAACCTTTCTTGTAAACAGAGATATTCAATTAAGAGAAGACATATTTCCTTTTGAAAAGAAGCAAGACACAATAAGTCTTTATTTGTTCATCCCAACATAGCAGACATTTTATTCCACACCACAGATTCAAGCACATATACTACAACACCAGAAAATCACATGCATACAACTCAACAAGAAGGTGATGTAATGCCAGAATTCACACAAGCTTACACATATCATTCTGAGCTTATTCCTACAGAAGCTACACAACCTACTACTCAACAAATATCAGTCATACAACCAACAATAGTTCAAGCACCACAGTCTGCTCCTACTAATCTCCCAGATCAACCAGATATGAGATGTCAGGTATAAGAAAGAAACCACCCATATGGATGAAAGATTTTGTGTCATTAACTGCTCAACATGATGAACCTTATGCAATATCAAAGTTCATAGCCTATTGCACTTAACCTCCAAGTATCAAGCCTACTTGACAGCAGCTTGAAACATTATTGAACCAGCCTTCTATTAAGAAGCTGTGAAAGATCCTAAATGGTTGGATGAAATGAAGGCTGAGATTGAAGCTTTACAAAACAACCACACATGGGACATAGTAATAGTGCCTACTGGTAAGACTCCAATAGGGTGCAAATGGATTTTATAAGATCAAATACAAGGCATCAGGCGAAGTAGAAAGATTTAAAGCTATAGCTTTAAATGAAAACTGTAAGGATTGTACTAGCTATAGCTGCTACAAGACACTAGCATATACATCAAGTGGATGTATATAACACTTTCTTACAGGGAGATTTACTGGATGAAAGATACATGACTCTGCCACAAGGATTCGCAGGTCAGGGGGAGAATAAAGTGTGTAGACTTGTTAAATCGTTGTATGGTTAAAAACAAGCTCCAGGACAATGGAATGCTAAACTGACAGAAGCATCATACCAATCTCAATTTTAGCAAAGTCAATATGATCATTCTCTGTTCTTTAAGAAAACTTCGAAAGGTATTACAATGGTTTTACTCTATGTAGATGACATGCTTGTCACTGGTGATTCTCTAAAACTAATAGAGGAAACCAAAACACATTTGCAACAGTCTTTCAAAATGAAAGACCTAGGAGAATTGGAATACTTCTTAGGTATAGAGTTTGCTAGATCAAAACGAGGAATTCTTATAACAACAGAATATGATGAATATCTCAGGAAAACTAAGCCTACTACTTTGGTGGATGAAGAACTGTCAAACTCAACTCCTTATCAAAGGCTGATACGTAAACTCCTATGTCTAACAATGACAAGGCCAAACATTTCATATAATGTACAAACACTAAGCCAGTTTATTCACAGACCAAAGAAATCTCACATGGAAGCAGCTTTAAGAATTGTAAAGTACATCAAGAATAGTCCAAGACAAGGAATACTACTCTCTAGCAAATTCAACAACAATATTTTAGCATATTGTGATGCAGACTGGGCTGCCTGCCCATATTCAAGAAAATCTATTTCAGGTTATCTAGTCAAGTTTGGACACACCTTAATATCATGGAAATCAAAGAAGCAAACTACAATTTCAAGAAGCTCAGCAGAAGCTGAGTATAGAAGTCTTGCAAAAACTGTGGCATAACTTATCTGGCTAATTGGATTACTAAAGGAAGTGGGAATTGATATCAACCTACCAGTTGAAGTGTTCAGTGATAGCAAAGCTGCAATGCAGATTGCAGCCAATCCTGTTTATCACGAAAGAACAAAGCACATCGAGATTGACTGTCACTTCATTGGAGAAAAAATCATGCAAGGGATAATCAAAACAACATACATATCTACCAAAGAATAGCCTACAGATATTTTAACCAAGGGTCTCAACAAGATGCAACATGAATATCTTTCTTCCAAGCTAGGTGTTCTCAATGCGTTTTCAGTACCTAGCTTGAGAGGAAGTGTTGAGAAAGATATAACATAATTAAAGAAGAAAGGGCAGTTCTATAATTTCCTAGTGTTAGTTAATTAGTTATTAACTACTAATCCTAGCTGTTAGAGATAGTTAGAAAATGAGTATAATTATCCTTATGTATACTCCCTCACGATGTATAGATTGGACTAAGTGAAATAAACTCATTTCATTCTCTCCTAAACGCCTCTCTTCATCGCTCTGTTCTTCCACTTCTTTCTCTTCTTCTATCTTCTTCAAACTGGGTAAGAACCCAGTAATTACTTCAACTTTGTTACATTTATATGGCTGTAAAATTTTGTTTGATTCTTCTTTGTTTTTTGCATTATTTGCAATCATGTCTTGTGTGCTTTCAATTACAAAAACAATCAGATACGCAAAATATTTTGTTCAAATGTCTCAAACAGCGACGCCATCCTTTAGTAGCTTTGGTTTTGTTGGGCTACTTTATCCGAAAGCATTAGCAATTAGGAAAAATAAGGAGAAGTAGATGGGAAGGGAATAGATACAGAGAATGTTGCTGTGTCTTGAGTTTATCAATATTGGCTATAGGTTAAATAATATGGGAAAACTGAATATAAATTAAATAGCAAAGTGAACACTGGCCACCCTATTAAATTAATACTTCTAAAGGCACAGTTAGAAAAAGCACAACAAGGTTTGCATTGTAGCATAAGAAGAAGAGTAAAACAATAACATACCCAATATTATCCCATATCGTGGGGTTTGGAAGAAGAAAAGTAAAAAAAGAGAAAAACTAAGTTCCCGTTTGATCATAAATTTTGGCAATTTTTCAAAAGAATTTAAAAAAAATATTATTTGTTCATAGAATATAATTAGTTTTTTAAAATTTTTTTGAAAAAAGATTAGGTGTAATAAAGAAAGTCAAGTGAAGACTCTATTCAGGAATATAATAATGAATTCCGCTCCTAAGGAATGTAAATCTATCTTAGGTTCCTTTATTCTTATTCTTTATAACATATTCATTTGCCACAAATGTGTATGTGTCGCGCCCCGTTTTCTCGCGAAAGCGGATTTTAGCATTGCGACAACTCTTTTTGGATGGGAGATAAAGTGCTAAAAGAATAAGAGTCGCCACCTAATAATTTTTTAGGTGCGTTAGGGCACCTATTATGCAAATAACTCTATTTAACTAGTCAACGACACCAAAGATCGGGTAAGGGCTCAAATTACCTCAAAGAGATGGTGTTAGGCACTCTTCGAGGTCCACAACTGTGGGTCCCGGTCGAACTTAAGACTATGTGGATTACAATTAGGCAAGATAAGCAAAGAGAGTAAGGGTCAGAGGAATTTATATTAACACAATAAGAAATAAGGATTACAAGAATATAACTATAACAGTCTATATTAGATGCCTATAAAGAAGAGGGGGGGGGGGGGAGTCCCAAGCTTTTTAGCCTAAAGGATCACCCCGTGCAACATGAATAATACTTCACAACTCCCTTGAGGTAGGGAGTTACTCATATTATTCAGCAGGCAGGGAGTTACTCATATTATTCAGCAGGCACAGACTATCATCTCCTGCTACCCGATTACTATGTTAAATTTGTTTACCTAAATGCGCTCTAGTTCAATTATAATTCATACCCTATGCATGCACTACCCGTCCCATGCCTATGGTCCAGGAGGCATTAGACCTCTACTTGGGTTGTTCTAGAATTTACTTGGGCTACTCAGAATGATAAACTAGGTGACATACAAAACAAGTTGGACTTCTTGTAAAGGGAAGTTAAGGGATCAAGTTAGCCTCCACACTTAGACAACAAATGCATGCTAACAGATTCTCACATTAGGCGTTAGACAGTTTCATAATTGAGGCAAATTAAAGCCATTAAGCCCTATAAACATGGTTTCTATGTGACCTTGGATTACGCAGGTAGTTTCAGATGCAAGACGCCACTTTAAACTTATAGACATGATTTCCAAACAACTATACAGTTCAGTAGTATTTTATATTGCATGCTGATTATTGAGATTACAGGTTACGAGTTATTAAACCAATAGACATGATCTCTAAGTGATTTACGCAGTACGGGCAGTGAAAGCCATTGTAAATACTCAGAATTGCTCATGCTTGATCCTATGGGCATGCTTTCTAAGCGAGTAGCAACTTTCATAGCTAGGTTGGCAATTTTATCGATTATTCCTATAGACATGCTATCTAAGTGAGCGATAGGTATGACAGTAGCCAATTAGTTGATTAAGCCCTAGGAACATGATAAACTAGTATAATCTTATAGGCATGGTATCTAACGGATATGCTGTAGTTATGAAAATTGAAAGAATGGTTATTGACATTTGTTTCCTATAGGCATGCTGCCTAGCAACACATAGCAGTAGACATAGGAATAAATAAAGCACTTATGCTTGATAGTAGACAAGTTGTGTGAGAGTGTGATTCTCCTAATGACATGATTTCTACCAGTGTACATGGAAATTGAATAGCATATATGGCAGATAGGACAAAATAACAAGTAGATCATATAAACCCTATAGGCATGTTTTCTACCCTTTCATGCAAACAATAGAGTATGCCTATTTCCCTGATTTCACTAACAACCCAATTGTTTATTACAAAATTACTACAAACCAGATGATAAATATAAGTACAAATATTACATGAAAGATAATAATAGGCCTACATTAAGCCTAAAAGGAGATACCCAGTATTGCCTGGGCCTTCAACAAACTATTACTTCACAAACAACATACTAGATCCCAACAGGGGACTATATTAATCAGCACAACCCAGAGACCATAGAGGAACTCAAGCCAAAGCAAACATCCACAGATTGACCATATGACCCAAACATTGGATTACACAAAAATCACTTAAACAACCCAGTTTGCAGATTCAGTAGATAGAATGAGGAAAGAACTGAGTGTCAGAGATAGCTCAAGTCTCAGTAGTAAAGAGAGTGGCCAAAGAACCCCAAATCCTAGTGTGTCAGAGTTCACAAGGGTCTCAAATGGATCCTGAGCAGTGATCACACTAGGGAGGTCAATAGTGAGAGTCTTGATGGCCTTGGCTTTCAGCCGGCCATGAGTGATAAATTCAGAATAGTGTAGGTAACAAATGAGAGTGAGAGAACAATGATTAAGGGATAGAATTTGAAGAAATGTACTTGTATTTTAGAAAGCGGACATAACAAAGTTGTCTAAAACACAGAACATGCTAGTTAAGAGGGTCAACAAGACTTAGAGGCAGGATGATATTACAGGTTCAACACTTAGCAAGAAGTAACATATTGGCAGAAAACACATTGAGAGAGTTAGAGGAGAAACAAGTTTTTTTCTGAGATTAAAAGATTAGCATACAAAAGGTGCATAATACTAAACAAGTCTAAGTAGAACACTAACTTAAAGGGTTTAAAGCCTAAGGGTCCAAATAATGCTAAATATCCATCACAACACCAGAAAGCAGACATGCCAATTTATCACTAAGATAAACAATATCAAACATTGTAAGAAAACACAGATTAAGATAGCCATTCTAAAGGTCCCAAATAATCACTAAGGATACAGAATCAAGCAAACCAAAGACATGGTGAGTGACACAATAGCAGGGGAGCAAGTCATAGTTGATAGTGAAGGTCTTAAAATAGATTAAAATATGTTACAGATGTGAGTCACTCATTACAGGAATCCAGAACAGGGTAGAGAAGCAAGCTCATGTCAAACAGTAAATGTAGACATTCAGGCACAAACACTGTAACGACCCGGCCGGTCGTTTCATGAGTTACCGCTCCATTTTCCCCATTTCTGTTTCTTATTGCCTTGTTCAGCTGAATTATGTGTTATCGGGTTGGTTGGCTCGGGTTCGAAGAGGTTTTGGTAAGGTTTGAGACACTTAGTCTCTTTTGAGAAAGCTTAAGTTGGAAAAGTCAATCGGATGTTGACTTATGTGAAATAGGGCTCGGATGTAAATTCCGATGATTCGAATAGCTTCGGGAGGTGATTTGGGACTTAGTAGTGTGATCGGAACTTGTTTTGGAGGTCCGTAGTAGATTTAGGCTTGAATTGGTGAAATTGGAATTTTGGCGTTTTCCGGTTGATAGGTGAGATTTTTATATAGGGGTCGAAATGGAATTCCGGGAGTTGCAGTAGGTCCGTTGTGTCATTTGAGATGTGTGTGCAAAATTTATGGTCATTCGGATGTGGTTTGGTAGACTTTTTGATCAAAAGCGGAATTCGGAAGTTTTGAATCCAATGTGTGTTGGTTGTTTCGATGTTGTTTGAGGTGTTTTGAAGATTGGTATAAGTTCGAATGGTGGTATATAACTTGTCTATGCTTTTGGTTGGGGTCCCGGGGGGCCTAGGGGTGATTTTGGATGGTTGTCGGGAAGATAGGAATTTGGAAATGGCAGCTGAAGCTAAGTCTGCTTTCAGAACCGCACCTATGGCTAGGGGACCGCAGGTGCGGGCTCGCAGAAGCACCCAATGGGTCGCGGATGCGAAAAAAGGGCCATGGGGCTAGAACTGCAGAAGCGGCAGTTTGAGCGCATCTGCGGTATCGCAGGTGCGGCTGCTCTAGCGTAGATGCGGAATTGAGGCGTTAAGTGAAAATCGCAGATCCGATGCTCCTGACCGCAGAAGCGGTAGCGCAGAAGCGGAGTTTGGGCCGCAGGTGCGAAAAGCTTGGTCCAGAAGGTATA